GCGCTCTCATTGTTCATCACGATATACTTAACGGGCTGTTTACATTTTGGGGAAAAACATGCGCTGGTTATTCTGCACACGGGCGCCGTCGCCGTTTGTGTGTCGATCAACACCACGCGTTGCCCTGTTCGCCGTTCCACTGGTGACCAACACGAGCTCACTCAATAGCCTCCGGAAGTTTAGCTCCTGTCTTGATGTCTAATTCGTTTAAAAGTTTCAACTCGCGCTACATCGTTTCCCGCCTCTCACATCAAACACTTTCCACGGATGCGGAGCTGACGTGCGAACATGTTCTCTTGCCCGTATTCCGAGGCCTTGAATGGACTTGCTCCTCCCTGCATGCGTGACCTCCTTCAGCCACTTATCAAGATCATGAAGATCCTCAGATTGTGCGTTGCTCACTGTCCCACGATCGAGGCTCCACACTTGGGGGTGGTGACGGCGCCTTTACAATTGCGGCAGCTCGACTCCGGGGCTCCGTGCCCCGTGGAGTTCCGAGAGACACAAACCTTCAAACCTCGACTAAAAGCGGATATCTTTACAACGGCTTTCTCTCTCTTTAGTTATTGTCAAACGTCATTCTAACTTCCTCTTTCCTTGGTTGATGTCAAACGATTTCCTCCTTTCCATGCACAGCGCCCTGAGAACGATTGTTTAAGGGGCACTCTATACATTTATATTGTTACTAATATCACAGTGTGACTTTGTTATGAAGGCTGTTGATTATTGTTGTAAACAGCGATGATGTATCCACTGCTGAATGACAGCCCTCCACCCCCAAGTCATCGTCTCGCGATGCACCGATCCATCTGCACGGAGTGATCCTCATGGGCGCGTGTTCTCCTTTGGCTGCTTCTCCGTCAGCACATTACAGCAATTATCCTACACGAGCCTCGACACACACGCGCTTGTATAAGCATGGGGGGTGGGGTGGTCGAATGCCTGCCCCCCCTTCCCACTCCCCTTAAAGACCTCGGAATTTAGCATTTGATGGATGTGCGTTGAACTTCTTTCGCACAGTACTTTGGCGAACCGTGCTAATCGTCGGTGCGGGGGGAACGACATCGATGTGGGGACAGACGAAGCAGTTTTGACGATCGGCCGCCATCTCCTCCAGCGACGCGTCATGCCGGATCCCCACTTCGCTTCACAGCCAATCGGATTTCCCCGCAATATTCAAACGTCGACATTGACAAACAATGGTCGTATTTATTGTTTTGTTGCACAACGACATCACCGTGCCTTCTTCGATCTGTGACTCGACGCCCGCTGCGCTCTCGCAACACATTCCTCTCGCCCACGGCAGCGAGAGTGGAACCCTTGGCCCAGGATGTTGAAGGCAGCGTGCCGCAGCAAGAATCACCCCCAGGCAAGTGGCGATTGCCGGTGATCACCGACGGGCAGACCCGGGTCCCGCCGGCTCCGCGTGCGTGCGGTGTAAGATCGCGCTGGAGGAGGTTTGGGGCCCCGACTCTCCCCTCCAGTGGAGGGGAGAGTCGGGGCCAGGGCTGCGGCCGTGCGAGGCGGTACCCCGCGGGCCACCGTGCCGCGGGCAGGGCCCTCTCCCCCCCCCCCCCGGTCACACCCCCCCCCCCACCTCTCTTCCTGTGTTGCTCACCCCACCGCTTCTCGGTCGTCCCACACGCCCCCACCCCCGCCACGGTCACAATGGCGTTCACACGGGCCACGAGTTCCCCTGCGGAACGTTCCCGGGGTCACTGTCTACGAGCAAATCAAACACCGCTCGCGCATAAACAGCAGCGGCAGAAGAAGAAAGCGCTGCTGCGTTTCATTTCTGCTGGGGGCCTCGCAAACCTTCGGTGTTCGCGATTGCCCAACGTGCTGGGTAGTTCCTCATGCGGCCAGTCATCATCTTCGTCCTCCTCTGTTGTGTGGCCAAGGAGCTGACCACCCATCAGAGATTCGGTTCTCAGTGAATTTGGCCGCTCATTTTGCGTTGTCTGAGAGTGGGCGAATTGCAGATAGCCCGCACGGGATCTCACCCCGACCGACGCGCGCTCGCACCAACCCACCCACCGCCTCCACGTGTCTAACGGGGGCAGTTGAGAGTTCACGGCCACCTCGGTTTGGAGTTCGTAGCCGCGGTGGCAAGCAGACGTCGTTTTTGATATTCCCACTCGTTGTGCATTCGGAACCCGCAGTCTATCATCAATAAATGCTCCCGGGGTCAAATGAAACTCGCGGAGTGTTAGCTGGCGCCAAGTTAACGTATGCTACTTAGAGTTCAGATTTTTTTAAAATGCTTTATTGATATAACACGTAACATTTTTCAACAATATCTGGGTTAGATTAATATTACATTGTTTGCAAGACACTTCCCCCATGAAGCTGACATGACTTCTAAGTACAGTGCAATAATGTGCAGTCCTTTGTCCACTGCTGGCTGACAATATCCCCACGCTGCTCTCAGTCCTAGGGAGTCGTCTGACCATACTTCACCACGCTGGTCAGTGCGGGTTGTGGGAGTGGAGGGGGGGGGGCATTGCTAGTTCCGATATCACTGGGCACTCACGATAACCCACTGGCCGGGAACCACTCTTCGAGTACATCTCTCAACTAGACTCTTTTTATTTTATTTCACCAGGTAAGGCACACTGATGATAGCTCATTTTCAGAAGCGACCCGACCACAAACGATAGCTCAACGTCGTGGCTTATCGTGTGGAAATGTATAGCAGCTAAATGATCTCAACGCACGTTGATTCTAAATGTGGGCGGAAAAAACCGGAGGACCCGGAGAAAAAGCAACGCGACCAGGGGTAGAAAGAGAGACACGCAAACTCCAAATATATAGCAGCAGGCTTCAGGGTCGGGATGGAACCCACGACCTCCTGCACACCAGGCGAGGTAGTTACCATCTCACCACAGCGGTGGAAATCCCCCCCCAACACCCCATCATCGTGTCAACAACAGCCCCTACTCCCTTCGTATGCTCCACTCTAATCCACATCTATAAGGAGGGCAGAATTGGACCCAGCACGGCACCTTGTGGAGCACCCTACGTTAATATCTGTGGACGAGATGTTATCATCTTTTGAGAACGGTCTGAGCGGTAACTCTTAAACCATTTTATTGTACTGTCTGACATTTTTTGCTGATCGAGTCTTGGTGAGTAGAATACAACAATGTCGAAGGCTTTTGGCAACAGTGTTAAAGGTTTCATTTGGAAGCCACTGGAGCTATACACTTTTACATATCGATTGAAACCTCAAATCTTTAGAAGTGCTTTTTGTGTCTAGATTTGTTCTCCTCTTGCCCCGCACCTCCGATTCGCACGGCAGGCTACGTAAGTGGTTCAACACACAACACATGCAACACATTAAGATCGCAGCGACAATGCTGCACCAAACCCCGTGGGCAATGCAGTCGACGCTGATTCGCCCCCCCCCCCCCCCCCCCCCGCGTCTCTGATTTGCGTCGCTGCCGCTCGCCGCGTGGCTTTGGCTCTGCAGGTGCCGCCGATGGCGGCACCTGCAGAGCCACCACCACCAGCGCCTACCCCCAGTGCCTACCCCCAGTGCCACCACCACCAGCGCCTACCCCCAGTGCCTACCCCCAGAGCCACCACCACCAGCGCCTACCCCCAGTGCCTACCCCCAGTGCCTACCCCCAGTGCCTACCCCCAGTGCCTACCCCAGTGCCACCACCACCAGCGCCTACCCCCAGTGCCTACCCCCAGTGCCACCATCACCAGCGCCTACCCCCAGTGCCTACTCCCAGTGCTACCATCACCAGCGCCTACCCCCAGTGCCTACCCCCAGTGCCTACCCCAGTGCCACCATCACCAGCGCCTACCCCCAGTGCCTACCCCCAGTGCCTACCCCCAGTGCCTACTCCCAGTGCCACCATCACCAGCGCCTACCCCCAGTGCCTACTCCCAGTGCCACCATCACCAGCGCCTACCCCCAGTGCCTACCCCCAGTGCCACCATCACCAGCGCCTACCCCCAGTGCCTACCCCCAGTGCCACCATCACCAGCGCCTACCCCAGTGCCTACCCCCAGTGCCACCACCACCAGCGCCTACCCCCAGTGCCTACCCCCAGTGCCTACCCCCAGTGCCACCATCACCAGCGCCTACCCCCAGTGCCTACCCCCAGTGCCGTGCCACCACCACCAGTGCCTACCCCCAGTGCCTACCCCCCAGTGCCTACTCCCAGTGCCTACCCCCAGTGCCACCATCACAGCGCCTACCCCCAGTGCCACCACCCCCAGTGCCACCATCACCAGCGCCTACCCAGGACCCCAGTGCCACCACCCCCAGTGCCACCACCCCCAGTGCCACCACCCCCAGTGCCACCACCCCCAGTGCCACCACCCCCAGTGCTACCACCCCCAGTGCCACCACCCCCAGTGCCACCACCGCCAGTGCCACCACCGCCGCGCTGTTTTGCTCTGCCACCGCCGCGTGGTTCAGTGTCAGAGCCCCCCCCCCCCCACCGTTCTGCTTATCCTGTAATCTAACCCCCAGAATATTAAAGCACGCGGCGCTGTCTCTCATTCCTCCCCCACCCCCTCCTGTTGTTTCAGCCCAAGGGCTTTGTTACAGTCTCCAAACTACTCCCCGGCACGTCCCCGCCGTGCCCTGATCAGACGGCGCGTCGCTGCGCAGCACCGGACAATTAATGAAGGCCGAACTGAACCGCGTTTTGCGACGCGCTTACGAATGTCATCGCACGTGTCGGGCGATAACGTGGAGGGGTTATTGACCGCGGCAAAAGCCTATTTTTAAATGTATTCGTGTTCTCAGGATTTATGTCAATCTAACTACATTTCATTGCAGATACGCCCGCATTAAACATTAGGGGCCGTCCATAAATGACGTCACGCACCTGGGGGGGGGGGGGGTGAGCCATTTGTGACGATGTGTGACGAGGGGCGAGGGGGGGTTTGAGAAATGTGGCGTCACATCAAAATGCGCAACTTTAAATAAATATATAATTTTTATGACAACACTCCTACAACATCAGAGTGCAGCGCCACATGATCTACGCACTACAATGACAACAGTTTAAAGCGATTTGAAGCATGTTTTATTTTCAAAATGGAAATACGGTTTTGCGTGGGGAGGAAAGACCGTTGTGACGTCATATTTGAGGGGGGTCTGACTTTTTGTGACGCCGTGTGACAAGGGGGGGGGGGGGGGTCAAAAATCGCCCAAAATCGCGTGACGTCATTTATGGACGGCACCTTACCCGTGGTGGGGTGGCAGTTGAATAAAAAGTGAACATGTCCAGGACTCTCTTCTCGACAGTCGTGGGTCCAGTCGAGTCGCTGTGTTTGAGTCCGTGTGCAACACAGCCGCAAATAATACAAACATATATCATATTGCAATATAATTACACGTAAATAATGGCCAAATATTGTTGTAATCAAGAGACTAATGTAATATTCTATAATTCAGAAGTTAATAAAAAAATGTTTTTGTTGTTGTATTCTTAAGGTTCGTTAAATTCTTTATTCAGTCTTTTCCCCGTGGTATTCGCAGTTCCGTAAATTCACAGTCGGGGCACTCGAGACCACAGGACTGAAAGTGGTGACACGTATTGCATCATTTTGCATCTCTCGAGATGTGGATCTGCCTCATAGAACCAGCCGGCATTCTCCCCGACCTCGTGTACGGGAGTTCACCTGCGAAACGAGTTGGGTCACTCTGGTTACGAACTCGGTCACCTCTGTTTGGCAACGTTACACACAGTGTAACTTTGTCACGCACCAGCCTGCGATAACTGCACCTACTCAGATATAGGACCGCATTGCACCTCCACACAACCCTTGAATCACACGCGTACCATGAGCAGTAGCTACCCAGGCTGTCAAGCGTTTGCCGGACCGGTGTGTGGCTGTGGGCAACTTGGCACGCTGATGCGGCACCGTCTCAGTCTGCGCGTGTCACCTCCCCCTCACGTGGCCATGGCGTGGCCCGGCAGACAGCCATCGTCGCTTGACATTGTTGATGTCTGTCTCGTTTCGACGGGACAAGGAGATGGAGCGAGAAGGCCGAGTAAATTGGATGCAGCGGGCGTAAGGTCGAGCGGTTGAATGGGCTTTTGTATCTACCTCTGACAGCAAACGCAAGAGCTTCATTTCAGTTGGCCGCAAAGTCGCATAACGAGTGAGAAAATGACAAGTCGAGTCCAAAACATACGGATGACCGCACACACGTGACCTTTACCTTCTGGATGGTGACAGCCTGAGAGAAGCGCCTCTGTTGCAAGGGAGGTTACAGGTTACAAACAAAGGATGTAAAACTCAGCGCGCATTGTTGTAGCCACCATCACGATTCATCGTCCGGGTGTTTTGGGGGGAGGCCACCAAATGGTGCAGCCAAATCTTTGGTCACGGGACCCTCTAGCGCCCGTCACGGCCAAACAATTTCATTGGTCACGTGGGAGTGACCATTGAAATTGTGTGAGCTCACCGGTGAGTCAGAATGACTTCCTGGTCTCTCCGCTGAGAATTCCTGGCATGGTTTCAAGTGAAATGTCACGAATCCAATCGCTAACTTTGGGGCTGTGGGAGCTCTTCAACTTCCCAGTGGGAGCCGACCAACAACAATAATAATTGGTGTGCTAATCGCTCGTATGCATGATAATCAATATCGTTTGTCTGTGTGAAGTGGTGGAGGGTGTCACAACCTAATTTGGTTTGATCATTCTGTGGGCTAGCCCCCAAAATCTACGAATCCAAGAATATACGATACGGAACGTTTCGAGTCGAGTTTACATACTCGAGTGAACACACAGACGCACATCGATGAAGTTGACTAGGCCTCTCTTCCAGAGGGCTGACTTCAAATATCAAAATTTCACGCAACATCAGTTTTCATGAACGATAGGCCATCGCGGTCTCATTTCTACCTGGGACGGATTTTTGTTTCACGAGGTCAATCTGCTCCTTGGCAAGCTCCATTACGAAACACGGGGAAAACCCCAAACAATTATTTTAATGTCAAAACAGTCAACACGCTCGGCGTGTTTTCCAGTGTAAACAAACAAACGACTGCAAAAATGTAACCACAAGGTCCATAGTGATTCGCGGTTTTGGGGAGAGATCTCTTCGTTGCACCAAGCCAAACCGGAGATCCGTTGACTCCGAGCGAGCACGAAGCTGGCGGGCGATGGCACGTCTCACGCTGAAATGCGAGACGTGCCATGCTCCCTATACTCATATTTCTTTGTTACGCTGAGAATTAAACTGAGAGGCAGAGGAGTGCGTGTTGGCATCAGAGAACTCTCAAGAAAGCCGAGCGGGCTTTTGTGCAAGACGCGGAGAAGGGACGGATGAGCACAGCGGCCGAGAGTGGCGACTGACGGAATGGCAGCCGAAGTGGGGAAACGCGCCCGAGAGGACGACTGGAACTGAAACGCAGAGACGAGATCGCGTCCTGCGCGGAGGTGAGATGGACTGTGACATCGCAGGGCTATGAGAGATGTCACTGGCGGGGGCAGTGAGGTCTTCATCCAACACTGGGGGCAGTGAGGTCTTCATCCAACACTGGATAGACAAAGACAAAACGAGTGCAGCATCATACATGACAAAAATATTAATAATCATGGAATCTAAAACATTATTTATTTTAGCAACAGTGGCCAAAATATGGCATTTGACGTGAAAATATTCAACTGTGTCCACCTTGCGAGGACAAGTCTTTGGGGCCTGGGGGGTTGTTCTTTTTTTTATAGATAAATTGTTCAAGATATTTCACTGCTGGAATTCTGCCACGCATCGATTCCTTACGCACACCAACTTGTAATCAGCCCGTCCGGCTATCACGCTTGCCAGAGGGAGCGCCTCTCCTTTTGTGTGTCATAAGTTGCAATCCTTCTCACGGCCAAGTGGACCATTGCCAAGCCGTAACATCCTCGTGCAGTGACATCCGACACAGCAGCGGTCTTCAACAAATAGGAGACTTTATTTCCTCGGGAACCAGACACACGGGACTTCAATGATTCCCTTCATTCCAAGTGTCTTGAGCTCTCGCGTTTCCCCCCCTTATAAAATAAATATCCCTCAAGCTCCTTTCTTGAAGGTTCCTTGACCCACTTTCCCTCCAGCCAATCACCTTCTCACTTTTTTGAAGGGATCCCAACCGACCTCCCTGTCAATCACCCTGTTTCCCGCAATTTTCATTTAGAATTTCTCCTCCAATCCCTTCAATTTCCCTGCCTCTAACCAAACCCATTTCAGGCTCGCTAACTACCAATCCTCTGGCTTGTGTTTACTCCCTGATTGTCCGTGTCACGCGGTGTCCACCACGTGTGGTGAGCATCTCTGGTAGTGATTAGAGTCTCGACATTTGTGCAAGTAGACACTCCACTGCCTTCTGTGTTGTTCAGTGTTTCGGTGGAAAATACAAAATGATGTGGAAGCCCTATTGGCTGAAATGTTGGGCTTTTTGTTTCAATATCCGCACCTCCATTTAGTACGGTTGGCTACGTACGGTGCGAAAGAAGTTCTACATACATACATCTTCTTGGTTATATTTGTGCATCTTGTTTTGAAACTGGTTTTGAAACAGAAGCAGGATACTCCGTTAATCATAAGTAATTTAATACTCTGACCGTTCACCGTCAACGTCCCGACAAACGGGCAATAATGTGATTAACTTCGGCTTACTCATACATTTTAAGAGTACAAAAATAAGACAGTGTTGCGTGACATAACGAATGAAATATAATGAGCAATGACCTTGATTTTTTTATTTTCATGGAATACATGTGTGCCTTTGCCAAAAACGCCTCGTCAGGTCTCGGAAGCTAAGCATGCATGAGCCTGGATGGTGCTTGAATAGTGTGTATTGGCCTGGTCTATGTATGCTGCTATTGTTGGAGAACTAACATTGCCAACAGCAACATTAGACCGTACTGTGCTCTTCCATCTACGCTCCTGGCCTCCATCAACTCGCACCGAGCCACACAGTGAAGTATGGTCAAACAACTCCCATGAATGGTGCGGTGTGGGGAGGCTTTCAACCAGGAGTGGATTGATAAAGAGCAGCACCTGTGCATTATAGTCTTTTTATCGCGGACAGCGACCCCACGTGCTAGTCCAGTCACGCAGCATGAGGAGAGACAATGCTCTACTTACACTAACCTGCACTGATCAATGTGGTGAAGTATCGTAAAAAAACCCACCATGACTGCCTAGCCAGATAGACCACAGGCCCCAGACCCCAGCAGTGGTGGGTCGAGTCACCACGGAACGGGCACGGAGGGTGAAGGAGGGGCAGGAGGGCTAAGACGTGCTGGGTGTGCGTACGGGTCGATCAGTACGTTTCCGTTCGGGGCCAGCCAACACACTTCGGCAGTGCCAAAGAGGGGGCGCAGCTGGTTAGGGGCAAAGATGGAGCCGGCAACACAGAGAATGTGGTTTCGGATGTGGGTGACCTTATCCCTGATTTTATATTTCAATTGCCATTTCAATCAAGCGACTAACAAATGCTTTACGTGTGGGTAAATAATAAACTTCAGGAGAGTTATTGCCTTCCTTCGCGTGAAGATACGGCACGCGGGTGAAATACCCACATTCACCTCTTACAAGATGCCTGGCGAGCGTGGGACATCTGCAATGTGTCTCCTGTTCAACCACTTGATCTTTTCCAAATATTCTGCACAGGCCACCGCTTCTGGTGCGAGCATTGCCTCATCTTAAGGAGTGCATTGTGGTGCTGCAGGGCATCTCGGGAGATGATCCATGGTTTGCTTCTTCTGACAAGCACTTTGGTCGATTGTGTAGAAGCGTGGAAGAGTAGGCCAAATACCTTAGAGTGTGGCAGTCTTGTTGAGCTCCCTCTCGTGGAGGGGCCATCTGCCAGGAGTGGCGCGAGTGAGCAGTTGCAGGACTGCGCCCTCCACCTGTCCTTGATGACTGCGTGGGGCTCCGATGGCGATGCTGGCCCCATTTACGCGGGATTGTTTCTTGGCTGATGATGACCCGGAACAGCTGTGAACCACAAATGCACCACAGTAGCTCGATGATCTCGTTAAGGAGCACAAAGTATCACGCGAATTCAAAGCAGCGACTTCTGGCTGGCCATTGAACAAAGTCGGTCACAGCATCGCGTGCTTTCAGATGAGCTTCTGCGGCCGTCTGGAACGCTCTTCCGATATTAGGAAGCAACTGGAGCCATGCACTTTTAAATAATCTAGATTGACAAACTCATTTCTTCAGAACTGCATTTTTGTGTTTAGTTTGTTGTCTTTCCCCCGCACCTCCGATTAGCACGGTTGGCTACGTACGGTGAGAACAAATTAAACGTACATACAAACAACTCCGTGTTCGCTTACTCCCTGCGAGCTCCGCAGGGCACGACCCGGGCCAGAGCGAGCAGCTCGTGCAAGAGGGGATTGCCACCTTTCCCACGGAGCATTTCGGCACAGAATCCTCAGGCAGCCTCGTGTAGGTCAATCAACACTGTAGTGCATTTTCAACACAAATTCCCACCACCAGGTTCTCGGTATAAGTCAATATACCCGCCACCTCGAACGTACAAATACCAATTCCCAATTCGCGGGTCAATTCGGGACAGGTGGCAACCCCACTTACGCTGCGTCATCACGACAAGCTCGAACTCGCGGCGGACAGATGCATCCTGTGGGAGCCCCGTTGCCAGCTCGGAACTCTTGGGCCGGGCCCACGCACGCGGCAGCACAATACAGTACCTCATTAAGGCAGCCCGGTCATTATTGGGCTCGGGCGGTGTTTGTTTTGCGGGACCGCGGGGCTCGGGGAGGAGCGACGGCCTCCTCCTGCCACGCGCAGCGAGCCGAGCCCGGGCGGCCGAGCGCGCGGTGCTCCGGCCCCACCGGAGCATGGGAACCGGCTTCAGGCGCCCGCTCCTCGCAGGAGGAAGCGCCGTGTTTTCTCTGCGACGCGGGACAACAATGCACGGCGGGGTGGCGGGGGGGGGGGTCACTCCTTGGCCCACGCCGCCACCACAGCCGCCGCCGCCGATCGCAATCAAAACACCGCGCTAATTACTGAGCGCACCCGCAGCTGCACCGCCTACCGTGAAAGCATCCGGCGAGAAGCAGCACTGCGACGATCGGTCATGAGCACACGTTGAGCAAGAGAAATGTAAACAAACACGCTGCCATATATTTAGATGTGTTGTTTTGTCTAATTCCTGTTCATGCACGCTATTTTAGAGTGATTTCCTGCTCAGATGAACACTGACGTGATGCTCAACCTCCCGTTTACAGCTCTGAGCCAGTGGTGGAAATTCCACATTCCTGTGGCGAGGGTGAGGTTAATCAATGTCAACCATTGTTGACTTTCCCATGTACAAAGATGGTACTCAGTTTAACGCGTCGGCTTTCGTGACCAATATCCATAATATAGGTTTTTTGGGTTAGATCGCGTAAATATATGAAAGCATCGTTAATTACTGGCGAAACGTCGTACTCAGATTGTAAATGTTGTGGCTTGGCTCTCTAACACACCGGTGTTGCTGTACAAGTGACGAATTGGCACGTTCTGTTTACGTGACAACCCCAGTTCAAATCCCAGTTGGGGGGTTGACTCGACTCATCATCTCTCTGGGGTCGATAAAACGAGTGCCACTTTGTGGGGAAGTCAGCAGGGGTCATCCTATGGACGGACTCGCCCCCGTCATACGAATGTGTAATTTCCACCCACTGGCACAGGGCTATAAACAGGAGATGAGCACCGGTGCCTCAATGTTCATTTGAGCAGATAATCACTCTGCCAAGTTAATTTGCATTGTTGTATTGTGTTAGATATATCGGCTCCGTGGAAGTATAATGCAAGGATTAGAAAGCAGCTATGAACCTCAAAATAGCAGAAATTAGACCACGTCAGTCGTCACACACAATTAGGAAATTGCCACAGAATACGGAGGCTGGGCTCTCGCTCTTGTATACTGGACGAGCACAAAATATTTCGCCAAGAGGTTAAAACGCGAAGGGGAAAACAAAACCACTTTTTGTTTTCCTCGGCTCACTCAAATCACAGCAACCCCATTGGAAGTGCTCGCGGGTGAATGTGCGAGCACGACTGAAGGTCGCCTCGCGACACTCGGGGCCCACTCTCTTCGGCGCTGGTTGAGCGAACTCGTTCCGTCAACTCGCACGCGTGGCCGTCCGTGTCCGGCGCCTTGTGGTTACTTATGTAATGTGTGTACGTTGAACTTCTTTCGCACCGTGCGTAGCCAACCGTGCTAACCTGAGGTGCGGCCTTGGGCCTTAAATAGGTGGTGGTGTGATGTCATCGACGACATGCCATCAAAACACCTTGGCACCTTCCTCTCTCGACTCCCCGAACCGTGTCCAGTGCATCCCGACACGAACTCGGACGCATGTACTTCACCTGGAACATGCATGTTGTTGAACTTCTTTCGCACCGTCACGTAACCAACCGTGCTAATCGGAGGTGTGGGGGAAGGACAACAAACTAAACACAAAACGCAGTCCTAAAGAAATGAATGTTCAATGTATATTTAAAATGCCTTGGGATGGAACGTCATATACACATCACTTATAACAGGTGTTATAATATTTACCATTGATTAGAACAAGCCTCTACTGAGCACTGCCTCGTCAATGATACTCAGTACGAACTGGACAATTAACGTTGCAATCCAGTCCAGCAACACGTGACGCCACTGAGGTGATGTGAGTTTGGGCCGAAGGTCTTGTCTTTCCCTGGAGGATAGTAGGAGGGTTTTCTTGTGGAATTGTCAATAATTAGAAAATTTTGCCTGGGCTGTACAGAAGAACCCTGGTTAAACATGACCATTGTATCAGTTCGCTTGAAGTTCTATGGTGGCACCTACGCATTCTGTTGCGGTGCGTGATACCACCATCTTGCTTGAACTCTACAGACGCCACAAAGTCTGTGGACTCTACAGACGCCACAAAGTCTGTGGACTCTACAGACGCCACAAAGTCTGTGGACTCTACAGACGCCACAAAGTCTGTGGACTCTACAGACGCCACAAAGTCTGTGGACTCTACAGACGCCACAAAGTCTGTGGACTTTGTAGCATCTGCAAAGTCTGTGCAAGCGTGGTGTCGTGGTCCGTGGACTTAGACCAGCCTGTCCTGATTAATCAACTCGCCATGGGAACAAATTCATTTTCATTCTCTCTTGATGCCAGTTTAACAGAATTTAATAGCAATGTAGTCTGATTTGCCCGACACAATTAGCTAATCAAATAATCAAAAGTAATTGACTACGCTTGACTCGGCAATATCTCCCATGTGATTAACATCAACAGCAGATGTAGCACAAAGGCAGCGTGCACCACTCGAGGCAACTTGCAATCGCAAACTGGAGTCAATTTAAAAGTGATGAAATACAATTATGAAGAAAAAAACCCGTTTAGGAGTAGCTCACAGCTTCCTTCTGCGTTCAGGTTTGAGTCCAATAACAGGCGTCTGTATTCGGGAGGCAGGAATTTACTGGAAGCGGTTTTGTGTTAAACCTTACTGCAGTTTGCTGCAAAGGGACGATAGACCCAGGTTGACTGAGACATTTGATCGGATTTGGTCGGTGTGAAAAGTGGCACAACCTAGAGTCGCTGCTTCTTGGCCTAAGAGAAGTGGGAATTGTCTCAGAGTTGATGTGTCAGGCGTACTCTGATAATAACGTGTCAGGCATGTGTTCGATACCGACCCTGACGCCTGCTGTATATTTGGAGTTTGTGTGTCTCTCTCCCCGTGGTCGCGTGGATTTTAGTCGGGATCATCCAGTTTTTCCCTCCACATTTGGAATCAAAATGCGTTTAGAGTATTAGGCTGCTATAAATTCCCACGCGATAATCCACTTCGTTGAGCTACCATTTGTGGCCAGGTCGCTTCTGAAAGAGAGCTACAAATAAAAATCTATTTTAATTTCGTCTCATCCACTCGGTGTTCATCCACCACCCTCCACGTCACAACAACACACTCGCTCAAAGACAAAGCTTCCCCGTATAGCATTAACAAACTGTTGGGGCAAGTTCTGTTAGCGAGCACCGATAAAGGCCGGCACAGCACCACGAGGTGGTGGGTGGCCAGCACCACGAGGGGGTGGGTGGCCAACACCACGCCCGACCGTCTTTGTCTCTCTAGTGGGGATATTTTACACACCGAATCAGGTACTTATTTGAGGCTGAATCAACCACGGGGAGGCAAAGGACTGGTTCAGATAAATCGTTATTGGTGTTGGCGGCCGTGAGCGGCAATCAAACTTGACTCGACAGGTTCGTGGTGCGGCCGCGTTAACCGCTGCGCCACCGCTCCACCCGGTGCGGCGAGGTAGGGGACGTGCACCGTGACGATGTTAATTGTGCAGCTCCGACACGACTGGCCGTGACAGCAGTCGGAGGCTCTTGGTGTTCAGCGTAATCGGCGTAATCAGCACAATCACAGCTATTGTGCCGACATTACCGCGGCCCCCACCCCTCTCCCCAAATCGCCATCCGTGCCCCGTGGCACGGGCTAGGGTGGCGCGCTGTGGGCACGCCTTCGTGCCTGTGGAAAACCTCAATGGCCCGGGTGTGATAAGCAGCTCTCCGCCGTGATTGCGCCAATCAATGTAATTGTCGTTGCCTTTGGCCATAGACACAGCAGCGGTGATTATTACTTCAAGCGGCGTCCACCTTGGCTGAGCGAATGCGGCGAGCAGTTACCATCGGGGCGGTTCACATGGTTCTCAGCGCGTCTCCGGGAAACACGGGGAGCAGTGGCGCAGCGGTGAGCACGTGGCACCGTCCATGAAACCAGCGAGTTTGATTTCTGGCCACGGCTGACAGCAGCAAGTTATATCTGAACTGGTGTTGAACTCCCTCCCCACCGCTTCACCAGCCTGCAGCGTGGTGAAGTATGATCGAGGTTCGTCGAAACTTATCCTATTAAAACTCGCGTCCCACGGGTGGATGTTGCCATGGTAAGAGCGAAGACGCATGGCGTTAAGATCAACAGCAAAGCTCCATCGTTGGTCTTTTGCATTGACGCTGAAAAAGTAACGGAACGCTTCCGTGAAATGCCCAGGGATAAATTATGATAATGGTAGGTAGGTGGGTGTGTCGTGCCCAAATAGGTTACCACGGGCGTGTTCTTGCCCATACGTGTTATCGAAGGGGAATCGATGGAAATCACAGTGAGTTCGATTCCATGCCAAACTCCGTGCTAGATCACGTGCTAGACCACGTGCGAGTCCTGTGCTAGACCACGTGCTAGACCACGTGCTAGATCCTATACTAGACCACGTGCTAGATCCTGTACTAGACCACGTGCAAGACTCCGTGCTAGACCACGTGCGAAATCACGTGCTAGACCACGTGCTAGATCCTGTACTAGACCACGTGCTAGACTCCGTGCTAGACCATGTGCTAGATCCTGTGCTAGACCACGTGCTAGATCCTGTGCTAGATCCCGTGGTAGATCATGTGCTGGACTACGTGGCAGATCCTGTATTGGACCATGTGCTAGATCCTGTGCTAGACCACGTGCTAAATCCTGTACCGGACCATGTGCTAGATCTCGTGCTAGACCACGTGCTAGATCCTGTGCTAGACCACATGCTAGATTCTGTGCTAGACCCCTTGCTAGATTCTGGCCTAGACCACGTGCTAGATCCTGGCCTAGACCACGTTCTAGATCCTGTGCTAGACCACGTGCTAGGCCACGTGCTAGACCCCCTGCTAGATCCTGTGCTAGACCATGTGCTAGACACCGTGCTGCAAACTCGTGACGGCCCCAAGCGAGGCGCGGCGCCGCTCACTGCAGCAACGGCAACTCCTCCTTCCGGTGACCGCCGTTTCCACGGATATTGCTGTGCGGGTGCCAGGCGCAAGTTTGCCTCCAGGAGACCGATGCCAACCTTCTTCCCCACTGTGCCCAGTTTTACTCACATG